TTTTTTCAATAGTCATAATGATCATTATTATGGCTGGAATTAAGTAAAATATGAAACGTAAAAAAAATCACTCCACTTCTTCAGTTCAAATAATTTCGTATCAACCTGAATCTGAATATTTATTTCTCTTCAACTCTACTCTTTTCATTTTCAACTTTCCCATAACACGCGAAGCTATTTTTCGGATGTGTTGGCCGTGGTCTGCAGGTTTCTATGTCTGAAGTTTCGTCTACGGCTGCGGTAGACATCAAAAGCAATGAGACAACGGAAGAAGTGGTCTAGTTGTCCTCACATTAGATACTGATCAAGTTTGACAAGTCACAGTGAAAGTATCACCCGTAAACTGTCTAGTGCTCTTTATGTCAACAACAAACTGATGAATGCCGTAGGTTCAGTTACAGTCCACACACCCCGAAAACTCACCTGTGGATAAGATACCGATGTATAACCTCTGCGACGTCGTGCATCTGGATATACATGCAGACCAGCTGCGGCAAATAAAAGTCCACGTCGTGGTCCTCGAAACTGAACATCTTGTTGACGATGTAGCACAACACGCCAGGCTCCTTGCTGTTGAAGAGGTAGTGCATCGCCATCGAAACGTCGAACACCTTGCTCTCGAGCAGCCTCAGCATACCGAACCCTTTGGACGACGTGTCAGAGTCCGATTTCGTCCTCTCGGGCGCGTCCTTCTCGCTACCGACACCCTCGTCCTTGCCCGGCGTCAGGTTGTCGATGTACTCGACGCTCGACTCGCGCGTCGTCGCGTTCGAGTCGGAAGACGATCCGGCGTCCGAACCATTGCAGATGATGCCCGAGTCGTCCGAGCCTAGGCTCGCGAGCTCGTCGTTACGCTGCTTGGAAGACGTTGACGTCGGTCGGGATTCCGACGACGCGCACAAGACGCCGGTGACGGTCTCGCATTCCGGGCTGGGCGTCACGTCGACTTCGGGGATGCGCTGCAAGGCAGAGTCGAGGCTGCGGTTGCGGTGGTGGAGCGTCGTCAGGTGGTTGGTCGTGGCGGTGGTCACCTGGGTGACGGGAGGAAGGAGGATGCCCATCGACCTAGAACAGACGGAAAAATTGTTAATTGTGCAAGATCCTCGAAAAAATTAGATGCTTCGCTTTCTCAAAATGATTGATATCATTTGTTATTGTGATCATGTATTGGGTTGTTACTGTAATATACGAAGTGANAAACTTCTGGTTCACCTTGATGAATTATTGTGTAAATTTGACCTATTGAAAAAACTGAAATTTTTTTAGACACTTCATCTGCCAAAAATCTGCCTCCGCCATTAGAATTGGACAAAATTTTGAAGTTGAATTTTGAGAAACGTCAGAATTCAACTTGAAAACACGTTTCGTATTGGCGCGTGCACCAAATTTTTTAGGCTAGCGTTTCCGCCATTTTTTATAGTTAATTCAGGTGACTGATCAGAACGAATTCATTTTTGAAGTGGCCGTCGATGGATGATATCTCTCGAATACTTTCACCATCAACGCTGGTGTTCCCCAGGGATCCATATTGTCTCCAACCCTCTTTTTTATTATATTGAACGACTTATTGGAAAAAGAATAAAGAATCCAATATATAGGGAGTAAAATTGATCCTGAGACAATAACTATGACTCTAAATTGACAAGTTAACAAGAATAACAATTTTAAAAATAAGGAAAGGCATTATCGGAAGATTGAACGAGAAAGATCTTTCTAGATGAGAAAACGCGCTGGCAAATGGTTGTATGTAATAATCGGACAAATCAAATCACTGTGAGAATTGAGAACTTAAGCAAGAACGGTTTCTATACTAAAGAACCTAAAAAAAAACACAGCCAAAGATGGTTTTAGGTTCATGTCTCCCCCAGTTTCGAAGATGAATCTGCAGGACTCTAATCTTGCATAAAATTCTCAAATGGCTAACAAAATAGTTCAAAAATGTTAGTTTCACAATCCATTATGAGTGTACGTATTTCACACGGATCATTTTAATATCATTTGATCGTAATTTCTATATAATAAACAATCGAGTATCTTAGACATCCTTTTTGAATCAACGGTCCAAGTGATAAAATAGGTCTACGAAAATCTTCATGGAACTCAGTAGTGTACGAGTACGGGATTTTCAATAAGCAGTCGCCAAAGGGTGTGCTTTCAAGAGGTTAAACAATTCACTACATATTGTATTTCTTTTAAAGATCTACAGAAAAGTCCGCGATGGCATATGTCTATCTTTTAAGGATAGCTTATTATACCCAATCAAAAGGCCAGCCGCACATATCGAGTTTTAACTGCTTCAACTGCTGCATCAACTGCTTTGATGGGAGTAACTTCGAGGGCCCGTTACTTGGTAACGAAGGATTTTAGGAAAAAAAGTTATATGAAGTACTGGTGATATTTTGACCCCATCTATACATTCCCGAGAGGAAAAGAGGAAGTCCAGGGATACCCTGTATAATGGTGGAACAGACCATTTAGGGATGCAAACCCGTATCAAAGTGCATTTTGGGTTTCCACGCCGAGTTGGTACAGCTCCTCTCGAGTATTCTATTATTATTACTATAATGTAAAGACCAATCAAGTGTTGACGTTGAAGATTTCGACAGAATATCATTGAATCATTATATAGATGGCCTAAACATTTCGTAGGCTAACACACAGATGGCGCTACTAGTATTGAATCCATATTATTTTTTAGATAACACTAACCTTTGAAAGCCACGTGTACAAATTTCACAGCTGTTGGCCTATTAGTTTGTGGGATAGAACATGTTGTGGAAAGCAACGTTTGTTAGATTGAAGAAAATGAGTTAAAATGATAAATCATTGCTTTTTGTCGAAAAACAAAATACTGTTGTAGCCAAGGCTTGGCTTGATATCTGTATCTGTAGAGTAGGGTAGAGTAGTGTCTGTATCTTTAAAAAATTGTTTAAATACTTAAAAAAGAGGAATGAAATAATGCATTCAACATTTTAAGAGATTCGTTTCTATTTCACCATTTGGCAACATCGGTTGTACCTAACTAATAAAGGACAATGAATCTGTTACTTGTATGAGACAAACAAAGATGACATATTTCAGAGGCGTGCTGTTCTGTTCAATGAATTTGAAAAACTCATGAATTAAACTCAACTTTATTTTGTTCAAACTTGCATTTGCTGTAATAACCCAAATTGAGGAACATTCCCCATTCTCGCTGAAAAGAAATTTAGCACTGTTGAAGTGGTAATCATCGAAACTGAGGCTAATTTTGAGGCTAAAGACAAATCATACTATAAAAATTTTATCAAAAAATTATATGACCGCTATAATCGTTGTATATCGTCCTCGAAGGCAACTATATCGAATAATAAATTCTAATTTCATCAAAAACACTTTTTTCTATGTTAGCCTACGAGTTTTTCAACCCATCTAGTATTGTCAACACTCGCTCCATACTTTTTATTTAAGAAAATGTGCCAAAAATAACGAATGATTCAATTAGTCAAGAAATATCCGCAATACGTTTCATAGCTGGCCAAGATCCAGTTAAGGAAACTGGGCGATAGGGTCATGTGGGAGGCGATAATGGTACAAATCACGGTTATGCAGTGGGCGGTATCATCCCGATTAAAATGTATACACTGTGGTTCATTTCTCGCGTCGAGGTTGTTCCACACCAGAAGACAGTACAGAAAGTGAATAATTTGTCGAACAACAAAAAAAGTTGAATAAACATACTTTCAAATGAATATTACTGGAGTTTTTTCCCAACTCCAAATCGTTATTTTCAACACCTCGACACGTGTTTCGATCACCAAGTGATCATCTTCAAAGAGGAAGATTGAAACTAGAAACTAATGCGAGCTAACCCTATTTGTGCTATATAGGTATCCCATGCAGGTAAACCATCCAGGCGCCCCACCCATACAGGTATACTAACGTAAATTAATTTTACAATTTTGCCTTATTTATTATTTTACAATATATGTTTATATAAAACAATTTTCAGCTATATAAAAATTAATTTCACAATATTGC